AACCTAAAGGAGTTCATCACCACCAAACATTAGTATATGAAATATTAAAAGGACTTATACAAGAAAAATATCAGAATTACGAACAATAAAATGGCAAAAAATACAAATCTATCAACAATTGAATCTAAAAAAACAAACTAAGTAAACAAGAAAAACAGAGAGAATCATGGATACAGAGAATTTTTTGATGGTTGCCAGATGGGAGGGGGCTGTGGGGGAATGGGCAAAGAGGTAAGGGGATTAAGAATAGGTAGTTACAGAATAGCCATGGGATGTAAAGTACAGTACAGGAAACAGAGTAGCCAAAGAACTTATACACATGATCCATGGACAGGAACAATGGTGGAAGGAATTGTCTGAGAGAGTGTAGGATGCTAGGTGTGTAGGGGCAATGGGGGAAAATCAGGACAACTGTAATAGCATAATCCATAAAGTATAAGTAAAAAAATAAAATAAAATTACATATAAAAGTGAAAATAGACTAGAAAGTAATGAATAACAATAATAAACTATTTTTAAAATTTAAAAAGCTGACTTTATACTTAAAGAAACCTGAAAAAGAACAACAAACAAAGCCTAAAGTGAACAGAAGGAAGGAAATAATAAAGATCAGAGCAGAAATAAATGAAATAGAGTCTAAAAAAATACAAAAGATCAATGAACCAAGAACTGGTTCTTTGAAAAGATAAACAAGATTGACAAACCTTTAAACAGACTCATCAAGAAGAAAAAAGAGAGAGGACTCAAATAACATCAGAAATGAAAAAGAAATAACAACTGACACAAAAAATACAAAGGATTGTAAGAAGATATTATGAACAACTATCTGCCAACAAATTGGACAACCTGGATAAACTGGATAAATTCCTAGAAATATACAATCTTCCAGAACTAAATCAGGAAGAATCAGAGAATCTGAATAAAGAGATTACACTTAGTGAAACTGAAACGGTAATCAAAAAACTTCCAACAAACAAAAGCTCTGGATTGAATGGCTTCACAGGTAAACTTTACCAAACATTCTGGGAAGAACTAACACCTCTCCTCAAACTATTTAAAAAAATTCAAGGAGAGGGAAAGCTCTCAAGCTCATTTGATGAAGCCAGCATTATCCTAATTCCAAAACCAGATAAAGATACCACACACACACACAAAAGAAAATTACAGGCCAATATCCCTGATGAACATAGATGCTAAAACTCTCAACAAAATATTAGCAAACCAAATGCAGCAATACATTAAAAAGATCATACACCACGATCAAGTGTCAAGTGGGATTTATTCCAGGAATGCAAGTTCTGTACAACATTCACAAATCAATAAATGTGATTCACCACATTAAAAAAATGAAGGATAAAAACCTCACAATCATATCAACAGATGCAGAAACAGCATTTGATTAAATCCTGCACCCATTTGTGATAAAAACCATCAGCAAAGTGGGAATAGAGGGAACATACCTAAACATAATAAAGGCCATATATGACAAACCCACTACCAGTATCATATTCAATGGGCATGATGGTGGTAGTTCCCCTTAATATTGGGACCAAGACTGGTATGTCCACTTTCACCTCTCTTACTCAATATAGTACTGGAAGTCCTAGCCATAGCAATCAGACAAGAAGAAGAAATAAAAGGCATCTAAATTGGAAAGAAGGAAATAAAACTGTGTTTATTTGTAGATGGCATGATACTGTAAGTAGAGAACCCCAAAGATTCCACCAAGAAACTCCTATAACATAAATGAATCCACTGAAGTAGCAGGATACAAAATTAACATCCAGAAATCAGTTACATTTTTATATGCTAATAATGAACTAACAGAAAGGGAAATTAAGAAAACAAGTCCAATTACCATTGCTTCAAAAATAATAAAATACCTACAAATATATCTAACCAAGGTTGTAAAAGATCTGTACATGGAAAATTGTAAGACACTGAAGAAAGAAACAGAAGAAAATACAAATAAGCATATACTGTGTTCATGGAGAGGAAGAATTAACATCATTAAAATGTCCATGCTACCCAAAGCAATCTATAGATTCAATGTAATTCCTATCAAGATTCCAATGTCATATTTCACAGAACTAGAACGATTATTTCAAAAACTTATATGGAAGCCCTGGCTGGCATAGCTCAGTGGATTGAGTGCAGGCTGCGAACCAAAGTGTCGCAGGTTGGATTCCCAGTCATGGCACATGCCTGTGTCGCAGGCCATGGCCCCCAGCAACCACACATTGATGTTTTTCTCTCTCTCTTTCTCCCTCCCTTCTCTCTCTAAAAATAAGTAAATAAATAAATAAAATCCTAAAAAAAAAACTTATATGGAAACACAAAGGCCCTGCATAGGAACAGTGATCCTGAGAAAGAACAAAGTTGGAGGAGTCATGCTACCTAATATCAAACTAAACTATAAGTCCATAGTAATCAAAATAGCATGGCACTAGCATAAAAACAGACATATAGATGAACAGAATAGAATAGAGAGCCCAGAAATAAACCCATACCTATACAGTCAATTAATATTTGACTATTGGGAAAATTGGGCAGATATGCGCAGAAAAATGATACTATACTATCTTCTTACACCATGAACAAGAATACATTCAAAATGGATTAAAGACTTAAATATTATACCCAAACTATAAAAATCCTAGAAGAAAAGATAGGCAGTAAGATCTGGACATTGTTCATAGCAATATTTTATCTGATATACCTCTCCAGGCAAGGGAAACAAAAAAAAATGGGACTACATCAAACTAAAAAGGTTTTGCACAGCAAAGAAGACTATCAATAAAATAAAAGGGCAAACCACAAAATGGGAGAATATATTTGCCAATACATGTAATAAGGGGTTAATATCCAAATTTATAAAGAACTTACAAAAATCAACACCAAGAAGCCAAACAATCCAATTTAAAAATGGGCAAATAACCTGAATAGATACTTCTCCAAAGAAGTTGTACAGATGGCCAACAGACATATGAAAAGATGCTCAATGTCACTAGTCATCAGAGAAATGCAAATTAAAACCAAAATGACACATCACCTCATTCCTGTCAGAACAGCTATCATCAGTAAATCAACAAACAACAAGTGCTGGCGAGGATGTGGAGAAAAGGGAACCCTTTTGCAGACTGGTGCAACCACTGTAGAAAGCAGTATGGAGATACTCCAATACATTAAAAATGGACACGCCTTTTACCCAGCAATCCCACTTCTGGGAATATACCCAAAGAAACCCAAAACACTAACTGGAAAGAACATAAACACCCCTATGTTCATTGCAGCATTATTTACAATCACCAAGATACGGAAGCAGCCCACGTGTCCATCAATAGATGAGTGGATAACACAACTATGGGACATTTACACAATGGAATACTACTAGTCCACAAAGAGAAGGAAATTTTACCCTTTGCATCAGCATCTATGACGTGGAGAACATTATGCTAAGTGAAATAAGCCAATCAGAGAAAGACAAATACCATATGATTTCACTCATATGTGGAATCTAAAGAACAAACTGAAGTAACAAACAAAACAGAGACAGACTCATAGACAGAGCAGGCTGACAGCTATGGGGGGTGGGAAAGGGGGTGGAGGGATCGATCAAAAAGGACTCATGGCCAACACCATGGTGACTGCAGGGGGGAGGATGGCATAAGGGAGTTAAATGGTAATGGAGAAATACAATAAAAATACATAAAATAAAAGAAAAATAAAAAGTTTTATATTACTCAAAGGTTTACTGATTATCTCAAGGCAAAAAACTTGAAAGTTGTAAAATCAACAGATGTGTTTCTTTAACAAGAGAACAAGTATTCCAAATTTGCTGACCTCTAGAGTGCTGGCTCTTGTGACCGTCACATGGGCACAGGTGTACACCCATACAATACCCGTCACGCAAAGTTAATATTTTAGCAGTGAATGTAACTCTGCTTTAAAAGAATCCTGTTTTGGGGAAAGCACTTTGAAATTGACATTTGTAATTGTTACCAATATCATGTAATTTTAATGCCAAAATGAAGTGGGTCAGTGTTACCTATAAGACTGTCATAGCTGCAGTCTTCAAAATTAAGAAGTATACTTTTAAACCTGTTTTATAATCTTTCAAATGAGGAGTTTCAAGAATTAAAAAAATCCCATTGTCAAAAATATTTGCAAGAACAACTGATGAAAACATAATTCAAGATGTCGGCTTCGTGGACAAAGAAGAGTTTTCTGGTGGAATTTCACATTGATAGATGGGATTTAAACAGTGAGAATTATGACTTAACAAGTGTAGTCAAAGATAGAATTCTTCTATTTGGGTATATTTCTTTCTGAGTTTTTTTTTTTTTTTTGCATTAACAGCCATTAAGACCAAGTATTGATGTTAACTGAACTTAAAAGCACACTTTCTAGTCTCATAAAATATTAAACTGATTTATTAAACCCACTTTTAATCATGGTGCTCTCACCAAACATATTTTTGCTAATAACTTTGAAGTGAAAAGAAAAAGGTATATTGTACCATTCGTTAAACATGAAGTAATTTAGTCCTGGCCAGGTGGCTCAGTTAGTTGGCACATCTTCCTGGGCAGCAAAGGGTTATTGGTTCGATTACCGATTACCCATCAGGGCACACAACCAGATTGCAGTTCCATTACCCCACCACCACCACATCAGGGTGTTTAGGAGAAGCAACAATTGCTGTTTTTTTCTCTCTCTCTCTAACATGAATAATTATATCCTCAGATAAGGATTAAAAAATGAAGTACATAATTTAAAATTGTTTCATCTTTACCACATCCCTTAAATGTTTTTTAGTGTGCTTTATAATATATTAATACAGCTGCATGTGCAAATCGCTTGTAAACAAGTTGTAAATATCAGGCTACAGGTAAAAAGAATAAAACTGGTGCTTAAATGAGACAACCATGAAAGCAGCTGGCACAGTGAGGACACAAAGTGGGTACTCACTAATGAATAGTTTTATTTCTCACTTGGTGACAAATTTGATGGGAGAGATGAAAAGGACAAAGTCAAAATGTCTCCCAAAGGGTGGTTGGGGGAGAGGTGCTGGTGCTGCCTTTCACTGGCGTTCTCCTGGGAGGAAATTAGGAGTTTGATTTTGGTTACATTTTCATGCGCCTAAGAACCTCTATGTGGAGATGTGTCCCAGGAACCTGGACATACCATCTGCAGCTCTGGAGCATTCTGGGCTGGAGATGAGGTTCAAGAATCATTAGCAGGTAGAAGGTTGTTGAAACCATGGAGGTGGGTGAGATCCCTAGAGTGGGTCAGCAGATGAGAGGAGGTAGGCGGCTGTGAGACCCCGGGGGAACGCCGCAATCAAAACCTTCTAGTGGAGGTACGTGCAAAATTTCAAGAGAGGAGAGGTGGCGCCAACTCTGAAAACTGCGTACTCTAAGCATTCAAGGAAGGCGTGGTCAGCAGGTTCAAATACTGAGAAGAGCGAGTAAGGGAGCTACAGAGCCCTCACTGACTTTGGCAACTAGGAGGCCAGTCGGGAGACAGGGAGAAAAACCTATGCTTGCGGGCGCGTCCAACTACAGGAAGTAAGTCACCTGTTTGAGGGCCGTGACCCCAACCTCACTTTGGGAAAAGTCCGGGTGGGAGGGGAGGTTTGGGCAAAAATCCGCACTCGGTGGGGAGCGTCCTGGGGCCGGTGGGTGGCGGCGGAGGCGAGGTCCCGGGGGAGCCTGGCTGGAGTCTGGCCCCGGCTGAAACTGGTGCGCTCCGGCCGGTTGGCTGAAAGACACAGCAGCCCCCGGCGTCTCAAGTTTCCCGGAGGCAGCGCGGTCCGGGTGCTCAGGTAGCTGCAGGCAGGCCTGGTTGGCGGGCGGCTAGCAGGGCTGACCTGCGTGTTGGTGGCGGCCCGCGCCCTCTTGCTGCGGGTCCCGGTCCCTCGCCTCTCCTCCGCACCTTGCCCAGGTAAGGCACCGACAGAGGTGGTTTCTTCCCTGCTAAGGCGGCTCTCCTTCTCCCTCCGGCCGGGCCCGGGGCTCTGGGGCCGAGGATCCGCATCGCTGTAAGCTGGGAACGCCCGGCCCTCGCCCCTGCCACGGACTCTGGCTCCCGCCGAGATCACGCCCGGCTGGCTGCAGTGCGGGGCAGCCCCTTATTCGGAGCTTACGGAGTGCTCTGCCACCTGCTCTCCTGCCCTGTGGGCCGCACCCTCCCGGTCCACGGCAGGGCCCCGTGCCCCGAACCTGGTGAGTGCTCGAGATGCTGTGCTGCTGACCTTGGGTCCTGCGCCGGGCGGCCCCCGCTGCCCGGGGAGAGAGTCGGAGTGCCCTTGGGTCGGGACCTCGGCTCTGGACTGCCCAGCTCACCGAGGTGCCAGTGCAGAGTCGCCGACCCTGGGCTCCTCCCCTGTCCGGCCCCTTGCTTGTGTTCCTACCCTAGTTTCTGCTTTGGCCTGGGCTTCCAAGGCCTCAGGTGAGCCAGCGGCATCTCAGCTCTCTGGTGGCCTGAACTGGATTTGCGGCCTCTTAAGCGCCGGGGACTGGTGCGTCAGGACTGGCCGGATGCTTACTGCTGAGGTGGACTTCCACCCGGAGGCAGGGGGAAGGACAGGATGACAGGGTGATGGGGTCGGTTGAGGCCTTCATCCATACCTCTTTGGCTCTTTCTGGCAAAGATGGTGTGTTGAACTCTGGCAGTCTGCTTTCTGACCTTGAACTTCCTGGTAGCTGCTTTGCAGGGCAGCTGCTAATGGCTTGTCTTGGCTGGCAAAAGGCTCTGGGGTGAGTTTTGAGAGGCCCTGGAGCAGGAGAGGTTTGTGCTAACTAGTGTCATTTTCCTGGACCGTTAGGTCCTTGTACGAACCTGGAAGCTTAGTGATAACAAATTAGCAGAGGAGCTAGGAGGAAGCACTAGGAGGAATTTTAGCTCCCTCGTGAGCCCTTGTTGGCTATCCCCCTGGATGTGGTAACCAACATTTGACTGTATTCGGGGAAAAGCTGGCTGCAACTGGAGCCCTCATAGGAGAAATCCCTACCCTGGCTGTGAAGCATTAATGCTGAGGGGTCTTCAAGCCCTGGGGCCAGGCAGACAGAGCCCCTGTCAGCTCTCACCTCTCAGAGTGCTGACAACAGATTTGGGGTGGTGAGCCCCGCCTGGCTGTGACACTGAGGGGCCGGCTTGCTCTGAAGGTGATGGTAGGAGGCTGCCCAGTCCAAGAATCATGGGGCTTGCATAGGTGGGTTGCTGGAAAATTCTTGGGCCTCTCAGCCCCACTCTCAGTCCCATCTCAGTCCTTCTGAGATCCCGGATTCTCGGATAAGGGGTGAATGGCTCTCAACCAAGTCAAGAAGTGGCACCAGATGAAGCCTAATTTCTTTTGTCTTCACACAAGGTGAACTAATCTTCAACTGGCCTCAAAATCAATCCCATATCTTGAAAATATTATGGGAACATAAAAAGTAGTCTTAGAGAAAAGCAGGAAGACACCTTTTCTTTCCTAAAGCTACTCACTGGCCTTCCTGGTTCTTCCACCAAATGTATTGAGTTCTTAGTTCTTCTGTATGCTTGCTGCATATCTAGACAGGAGACCATGGTGTCGGGCTATGATATATGAGATGCTAGGGTGTAAGAGGATGGGCTCACGGCTGGAGTGCTGGCCATGCAAACTCAGCAAAAAGTATCATTCATTGAGAAGAGACTATGTCTCCTGATCTGGTTTCACATTTAAACATGGTTTCCTTTTCCTTGCACCCAAGTAGGAGTTTGAGAGAGAGCCTGGCAGACAATAGTACTCCATAAATATTGTTGAATAAAAGGATTCAGGGTCTAGATGTTTATTTCCTCAGTCGGACTCTCTCGCACCTGATGTCCTGATGACAATGATGTTGCTAGATAATACCCATAAAGCACATACGTTGTGCCAGGTACTATTCTAAGCACTTTACATATGTGAACTAATTTGATTGTCATGGCAATTTATGAGGTCAGTACTATTATTAATCCCACTTTATAAGGAATAGAACAGAGCCAGAGAAGTTTAGTCACTTGCCCAAGGTCATGCAACTAGGCAGTGGAACAGGATTCAAACCTAAGTAGTCTGGCTAGAGTCCATATTTTTAACCATATATAGTGCTGACTCTGAGCATGCTCTAAGTAGGTTAATCATTAGCCCATTCACACATTCATTATTTTATGTCCCCATTCACCAAATATTTACTGATGCCTATTATATTCCAGGCATGGGGACACAGTGGAGCTGATATTTAGCAGGTGAAGCCCCTTTGCCCAACTCCCATTGAGTCATGCACACCTCAGTGCATGAAACAGCATCCTTTCAGCAGGGGACATAACTTTTCTTGATAGGACATAATTTGATTCCAGCCTTTTCTGTTTTGGGGTGTTTGTGATGATTCCAGCCTTTTCTGTTTTGGGGTACTGGGCATGTAAATGATAAAAGAGAATTTAGTCTGGTGTCCTGGGCAGGAGATACAAGTCCTGGACCTGGTTGTTATAGATTGTCTTAATGTATCCTCAGAAGGGAATAGGGCTTTGAGCGTGGGACCAGTACTTCTCAGTACCAGGAGTCATCCAGGCCCTGAGGCTCAAGGCCTGGGTGTGTCGGGCTCAAGAGGAAAGTGTGAGGTCTTAAGCGAGGCTTGCCCTCCTGAGACAGAGTCACAGTTTCCTCTTAAACTGCCACTGTTGTGGAGGGCCTTGAATGCCTTTGGCTCCAGTGGGACCCTTGCCGATGGTCCCAACCTGTGTCACGTTAGCAGAGGTGTGGCCTCTCTCTGTCTGGACCTGATGGAGTGGGTCTCACACCACAGCTGGGCCCCATTAAGGCAGCCTTCTCTAAGCTGGAAAACGAAGGCACATAGTGGAAGGCATCTTCCAAAGCCCAGGCCACGGGACATTAATAGGTATTTTTTCCCTTTGGTGGCAGTGGTGGGAAGGTCAAATAAGTCTGTTGAATTAAACAAAGTTAACTCAAGACTTATTCTTTACTGCAGGACTTCTTGGGTATTTAGAATATTCTAGTAGGAATTGTGCGTGAATTCCCCTAAGAGACTCTAGTGTGCAGTATTTTCCAAGCCTTGTGTTCTACAGACTACATTTTGGAAAATGCATGTTTAGACTAAGGCTATCATCCATAGTCTGGTTCAAGGTGCAGAATGAAATTCTCTGAATGTGTTGAGTCCAGATAGTTTCTCAGATGCTTGGGCTAGGGTGCTCCCATCGCAGCCCCCCCTGAAACCTTCCCTCTCCCCTAAAAACACCAGCAGAAGGAATCATATGCCCCTTTTCCCATTTGGCAGAACAGTACTAGGGGCTTGAATTTTTTTGTCTATGATTTAAGTGCATTTAATTATTTAATGAATAAATACTACCTTCTCTCTAGGTTGCTTATAGCCTGCTGGTTGCACTGTTTATGAAACAGCTGCGAGAACAGGTGGGTCGTAATCTCTGGTTAGCTAAAGCCCAGCCGTGGCCCAGGGATCGTGTGTCAACCATGTAATCCTGCTCTGTACACACAGAAATTATTATGTGGGCTCAGGAAGGCACAACCTCAGGACTGGACATGAGAAGGTCACTCAGGCCCAAATGAGGGCTAGAGCCAGCCTCCCAATAAACAACTGACCCATCTTTTCTGGGCTCTTCTCCCCAGGATTTCAACAGCACCACAGAAATAGCCATTTTGCTCACGGTTATTTCCCAGATCCACGCCACTCATCCAAGTCACTGGGAGGCCGTGTGTCTGTTCTGAGCCTTCCTACGCAGGACTGTCCTTCTCCCAAAGGGTGGATGAAGAATAGAGCTTTGCGCACTGTGATTCTGCTTTAATCCATCCTGCTTGCTTTGAGAGGACTGCTTCTGTCGGTCACTGGAGGCAGCCCCACCTTCCCCAGTGGGAGCGGCTGCTGCTGGTGGCAGGGTGACTGAGTGCAGCCCGGGCTCAGGAGGCTTCTCAGAGCTGGAGGCCCACATGGACGCTGCGAGCGGCCGTAAGGAGGGGTTGGGGAGGATGGGCTCAGGTGGGCGAGGCAGGGCATACTTTGTGTGTGTGTGTGTGTGTGTGTGGGTGTGTGAGTGTGTATGTGCTCACCGTCACTCTCTGGTAGAGCTTGTCAGGCTGCCCAGTCACCAGTGGTGCCCAGGTTCCTTGGGGGAAGAAAGGAAGGAGTGGAACAAGGTATGCCAGCTTTTCATCCTGGCTTTCCCCTGCCTCAGTTTCCCCTCTTTCTGAGTCTCTGTCCTTTCTGGGAAAGGAGGGAGCAGTTCATAGACCTTCCCTCTTTTAGAAGAGGAGGGGGGTAAAGCTCTTATGGGCAGCTGAGCTTAGAGCTCTCCTGCCAGCCCTGGCATGTGTTGGATGGGTTGTTTTGTGGGGGCGGGGGGAGGAGCCTTCTGAGGGCAGGCAGCAAAGGATGGTATTGCACGTTTCTGCTTACCTTTCAAGAAGGGTCTGGACGTTAGATGGAGGCTGTGCTTCTTCTGGGGTTAATCAGGAAGGCTGGATGTGCTGTTGCGTTGGGACAGCAGTGGTTTTAGCTTCTTACTTTGGAGCAGGCTGTGGACAGGGCGAGGACACTGCATTCAGGATATAGCAGCCGTGGATAATTGGCATGACCCGAGCCCTTTAGGACTCTTGGAAATTTTCCACTTCTGTTTCATATTCATGGGAGAATTTCCAGCCCAGACTTTTCCTGCTGTTGCTCAAGGCTGCTCACAGATATGCAAAGCAGAGACCTCCCACCCCGGCAACGGCAGATACGACCCAGCTAGCTGCACTTGCATTGACTCAGCTCAGCCTCCAGGCAGCTCGCAGCCCTGGCCTGAGAGCGTCACCTGTGTGGCATCCTCAGGAGCAGTCATGGAGACTCCGCTGCTAGGATCAGGTCTGTGCTGTGGGTTCTGACGAAGGGAATCTGGCAAGAGCAGGGAACAGCTTCATTTATGTAAGGAGGGGATTTAAGTGGCTCTCTGCTTCCTTTCTGAAGGGGCTGTGGTGCCACAGTTATTGTTTGTTGAAATGGGTGGCATTGGACAGCTTTCTGACTTTGGGGCACTTCTACAGGCTCCCTGGAGGGTGTTGTATGTAATGGTGAGATAAGCTGTATCACTAGCCAGTGCTGGTGAATTCACAGTTAAGCCTCCCAAGCCTGCTGGCTCTAGCCAACAAAGTTGAAAATCAGGCTTGAACAAGCAGCTGGAGCTGAAGCCCTGCTTTGCATCTGCAGAGTGGGCTTTCCTCTGCCTGTGGCCTGGCCTGTGTCTGTAGGTCTGAGAAGAGAGACAAGAAGTGGAGGGAGGGGCTGGCAGGTGGGAACTGTCTGCCCAGGCTGTCCAGGAGACAGCAGGTGTACAGGAGGTTCCTGAGACCCACTGAGTTAGCCCAGCTAAATGTTAAATGGGCTTAGCCCAAGTAACCCTTCTGGGTCACTTGGTTCATAGTAAGCCATAGAATGAAGCCCCCACTGATTACTTAAGACATTGGTAGTAGCTCTGCAGGAGATTCATAGGGGTCTGTTAAAAAAAAACGGGGTGGGGGTGGCTCTGTGGGAAAATGCTACTCGGTGACCCTGGAGTTTTTGATGTGCCCTGTGAATCTGCGTTGGGGGGCTCTGGAATGCAGCATCTCCCTAATAATTGACTATGAGACCTGTTTTACCAGCAATAGGTATTGACTTCTTAGGGGACCCAGTTTGACAAAGGCTGATTGAAGCTATTTAAGTGAAAGAAAGAAGGAGCTCTTTTGTAGAAAGGTGCATTCTGAAAAGTGTGTTTAGTTGACTTGAGCAAGTTGAGAACACTCCTTGGAAGAATATGGCAAGATCTGGCATGAGAGCCTCAGACACAAAGGACCCCTCAAATGTCCATTTCTGAGAGGGCTTGGGGGGTATAGCTTATGTGTGTTTGTGGGGGTAAAGCATAGGGGATAGGAAGGTGGTGGTAGGCAGTTTCTGTCCAGGGCAGGAGCTAACGCAGAGATGGGCCTCAGTGGTGCGATTCCCTTTGGGCTGCCTCTCTGTGGTATGGGTTAGGTGGGGGTAACTGCCCAAACCCGGGATGTTGAAGTTTGATTTGTTTTTCTATGTTTTTCTTTTTTTATAAACACTCCAGTCTCTTCGCTTCCTTTCTACCTCCTCTGTGTTTGTTAAAATGGCATTATGACAGCAGTAATGATCAAAATTGGATTGCCTCTCACATGGGCAGTCCTGCCATTTGAGTGTGAGTCGCTCTTACAGCCCTTGTCCCCAACGGGACACATTTTCATATCATTGTAATCAAAGCATGGGTACAGTTTTATTTACTCATTTTTCACTTACTGTTATTTGCTAAGATATTTTATGTGGTTGTATTGTCCTCATGATAATGATTTTGGCTGCTTAACAATTTTTTCTCAAGTGAGTGTGCTCTAATTTGGACATTTTAAAGCTATGCGTGTAAATATCATTGTACCTTTTCCTTCCTTCAGTTTCCTTTCTTAGAGGCAACTTCTAGAACATGTTAAATGGTATGGCTGCCTATTGGATGTTGCCCTTGACCTGTGTGGCCTTAGAGTTGCCAGGTAAAGGTCCAGATTTGCTCTGGCTGAACAGCTCCTCCTGGATCTAGTTCTCTGTCTTTCTCTACATTTCTCTCCCCTGTCACCTTCTTTTCCCAGCCTCTGATCTGATGGTTTCCAGCTTCCCCTTCTCTCTGCTATCAGGACATGGTGATCTCCAGGCTGCTCTGTCCCTCTTCCTCTTTGCAGGCCAGGCCTTAGCTGTTGTGGTCTCTGCCAGTACAGACGAGCACAGTTGCATGTCGAGATGCCTCTGTCCAAACCAGCTCCCTCCCCCTCAACTCCCTGAGAGTGAGCAAGGCCTGGGAAAGGCAGGGTCCTGGTGGGGAAGGAAGGGAGAAATTGGTTTCACAGTTGATGGGCTCACAGATGTTCTTTGCCTGTTACTAGCCTCTTTCCTCCTTCCTGTCCGTGTCATGAATTAGGCCCACGTGCGGCAGAGAGGACCTGAGCGGCAAGCCTCCCGGGCACTGGGAGCCTCTCTGGTACCTAGAATTATGGCACTTAGAACTGAGAGGCCTTGGGGACCACTTAGCCTTATCTTATCTGGGATAGCCAAGAGAATGGCTGTCCCAGGGTGGCTCCGTGAGCCCCTCCTCCTTGGCAGTTGCTTCCTCTTCCTGCCAGATGGCAAGTGGGCACTATCCAGCCTTCATCCTTATCTGTTGGGCTGACAAAACCACTTCTCTCTTTAAACCTTCCCTAAAGAAACTGTGGTAAAAAGTGGACAGGGAACTCTTCTTCCAGAGCTGGTTGTCGAGAGGATGCAGTATTCACTGATGCCATAAGTGTTGGGGACAATGGGGACACCTGTCTTGACACCAGATGGACAAAGAGAAGCAGGGCAGCATAGTGGTTAGCAGCATAGGTGGAACCAGGTGCTGGGTTCGTATCCCTGGGCAGAGACTCAGGGTGGGGCAGGACAGGGATCCAAGGTGGGGGGAACAGCTGAAGTTTCTGCTCACTTATTAAAGTATGACCCTGGCAAGTGAGCTCACTGTGCCTTCATTTTCTCATCTGTAGAATGGGAATAAGAGGATTAACTGAGTTCACAAGTATAAAGGCAGAGTGTACTTAAGTGCTAAGTGTTGAAAAAAAAGACAAAAAGGCAGAAAAACAGAAAAGAAAGGAACCAACTAGGTGATTTAGGCCTACCGCTGATAGTAAGAAACCAGTATGCAGAGAGGCGGGTAAGGGCAAGCTTCTTTGAGGAAGTGACTTTTCAGCTGGGCTGTGCAAGGTGAAGAGTATCCCCGTCTCTAAACCTTTACAGTAGTCCCCTCTTATCCACAGTTTTATTTTCTGCGGTTTCAGTTACCTGCAGTTGACTGTGGTATAGAAATAGTGAATAGAAAATTCCAGAAATAAACAATTCACACATTTTAAATTGCATGCCACTCTGACTAGCCGGGCTGCCCCATTCCACGGGGGGTGGGAACCGTCCTCTGGTCCACTGTCTCCACACTGTAGACGCTTCCTGCTCGTTAGTCATTTCACCTTCTTGGCCATCAGACCGACCGTCTTGCAGTAAAAGTAGTCAAGGATCCCTTATTTTACTTAATAATGGCCGCAAAGCCATTCACATAACTTTTATTCACATAACTTTTATTACACTATATTGATTATAATTGTTCTATTTTTGTTAGTTATTGTTGTTCATCTCCCACTTTGAGATGAACAACAATAACACATCTCCCAGTTGTGCCTAATTTATCAATTAAACTTCACCATAGATATGTGTGTATAGGAAAAATCATATATATAGAGTTCAATGTTATCTGAGGTTTTTGGCATCCACTGGGGGTCTTGCAACATATTCCGCCTGGATCTGGGGGGCTGCTGTATTTTATTTGCTGTGTCCTGGTACAAGTGCCAGAGGGCTTGGAAGACGGTGGGACCGTGATTGCAAATTCTTTGTTTTCAGCAAAAGGCCTTGTTTCATGTGATGAAGAATTCAGTCTTGGGTTCCTGAGGGCTCTGCTGTCATCTCACAGGACCTTAAGCTAATCATTAAACCCTCTGTACAGTGGGAGTGAGGTCTGGTCGTTGTCGCACCTGGAATGGCCTCCTCATAATCTGTAGGAGGAAGGTGCTGACCTCTCCTGTCCCTTCTGCATCGTGGAAACAGAGCCGGGAGAGGCAGGGCTGCGGTGTGCTTCGAATTCCCTGAGGTCAAAAAAATGGAGGCACGCTTAGTGGGATAGTTCATTTTTTGACTTCTGAACACTTGCTTTCTCATGAAATGTAAGTGGCCCTACACTCTTCACATCCAATTACTTATTGAGCTAGTTTTAAAAATTGGTGTGCTGGGCTTGGTCAAGGGACGTCCCAAGTACACAGCTGACCCCGAGGACTGGCGGCCCGGCCCTTCTCTGCTCCCCAGCCTGCCCCCACGCTGTGACTCAGGCTATCCAGTAATTCAGGAAGGTTAATGTGTGTTCTTTTTCTGCTAGCCGAGATGCCGCGCCAATTCCCCAAGCTGAGCATCTCTGAGGTGGACGAGCAAGTCCGGCTCCTGGCCGAGAAGGTGTTTGCTAAAGTGCTCCGAGAAGAGGACAGCAAAGATGCCCTGTCCCTCTTCACCGTCCCCGAGGACTGCCCCATCGGCCAGAAGGAGGCCAAGGAGAGAGAGCTGCAGAAGGAGCTGGCGGAGCAGGAGTCTCTGGAGAGCGTGAAAAGGTTTGTCCCCACGACTCAGCTGTCGTGTGCCCAGTTGTGCAGACCCAGGCAGACTGTGGGTGTTTGTCCTGAGATGAGGTGGCTCGTGGGAACTGGTCTGTCTCTGGGCACTGAGTTTACTTCTTAACCAAAACCTCTTGATCACCAATTTCTTGAAGGACATTTTGGTGCTCCTGTTTGTTTGAAAAGATGAAAGAAACCACTCTCTCTTTGCTGCTGTTCTTATAATGGATCAGGTGTATAAATACACACCATTTATTTCCAAATGAAATGTCCATTTTCTTTTTGGAAATTTTAGGATTTCTTAGGAAATATAAATTTTACTTCTTATCATCACTTGACAAGTACTTTCCATTATTAATGAACTCAGTTCACTATTTCCCAGGGTCTGTGCTGAGCAATGGGGATGTAATAGTGAACACGACCACTGTTGTCCCTGCCCTATAGTGTATACAGTGGGTCTAGACAATAATTAAGTAACTGGACAAATTAATAAAAAAATAAGTTATGTGCTATATCAGTCAGGGTCTAATCAGGAAAACAGAAACCACCTGAGTATTGGAAGTACGTGTTTCACGCAGGGAGTTGGTTACAGAGGTGGTAGAGAGCTGAGAAGACAAGCAGGGGCATGGGAGGCGGCCCAGACGTTAGACACAGTGGAAAGCAGCCACCACCCTGCACCAGAGAGACCGTGGAGAGAGTTGCAGTTGCTGGAGCCCAGCATAGAGACGTTGGAACTGCAGTGGTTTTCCAGTGGATGCTGGAGCCAAGGAAGCAAAGCAATAGCTGCAGAGATGTCTCCCAAGGCAGAGAGAGAGAGAGATGCAGGACATCTTCCAGTTTCCCCGAATGGTTGCCATTGGCCAGACCTAGCCAGAAACCAGCTTTCACATAGCTGGAAGCACAGGGGAGGGTGAGGAGTAGATCTGAGGACAAAGAGGCCCAGGCCCAGGCCCAGGCCAGGTGCTAGGTAGGAGAGACTAGGAGTCGAGAGAAGGAAAGAAAAGCTGTGTGTATGTTGGGGTGGTGGTGGGGTAGTCATTTTTCCAATGGGGTATTTAGGGAAGGTTTTTCGGAAGAGGTGACATTGTAGCTGATGCTTACGGGGTGTAATGGGACTAGCGTGTGTAGAGCTTGGTGAGAGCCTTACAGGGAAAGGAGCCAGGACAAAGGCCTTCTATCTGCAGGGCCCACGTGGGGTAGAGGTGTGGGTAAAGGGGTAAGAGCCGTGACCTCAGGTATCAGATCAGACTGGCCCTGTGCTCTCTTGGATAAGAAGTTTGGATGTTAGTCCAAGTGCAATGGGAAGCCCTCACCTTTTCACAGTTTATCTCGCCTGGGAGGCAGAGTTAAAGAGCAGAAAAGCTTCGATGAAGTGTCTAGCGGGGCTGTAGTGGGGTGCCTATCTGGCCAGCACGCTGCAGACCTCGGTAGCTGATGTAGTAGAACTTTTCTGCAACCTAGTCAGCGATCAGGTTCTTACTAAGGTACCTCTTTAGAGGCAAGTCCTTTCTTGGCTTGGTAGTATGGAAGTCCAGTCTTTTCGTAACTTCTTTTTGGAAGTTAAAGAGTAAAGTATTGGTATAAAGGCAAGAACAGAGCTTTATCACCCATAAAATAAGTGCTTTTCTTCCTCAGAGGGGATCTGAGCCCATGAAATGAAGGGGTGTTGTGCCCTCAGCCAACTCTGAGTGCCAGCCTTGTACTGGGAGAGGTGGGGCGGCCCCTCGCTCGGCGGCACGGCCATCCCCGGTGGGTGAAGAAGAGCAGGACTGTGGAGACCTTCGCCCACGCTGCACTGGCTTAACAGAGGGTGATTTTATGGACTGACGGGTCTGAAGGGCCTTCTCTGTCTTATAAATTGGTCACTTTAGAACTTTAATAATGAGGATCCCTGGCATTTTTTTTATCACCAGGAATAAGAGGGTTCTGACTCCAGTTTCCATTACGTGCAACATGGGCCTGACGCCTGTAAAAAGAGATTGTTCTCTTCTTATCAATGCCCAGGCTAACGGCAGAATGGAAGCCTTCTCCCTCTAAGTCCAAGTGCTGCTCTGTGGTTTCCAGAAATTCCTCGCAAACCCCTCTTCAGAAATGTTGTTCTGTCCCTACTTAACAGGTTGTGTTGGTCTCGGTTTGCCTCCGTCTGCCCCTGTGGACCGGAAGGCCTTGAGGACGGCGTCTGGCTCCTGCCACACGCCCGGACTCAGCCTGTGGTGGTGAGCAGCAGATGTGTGGTGGAGCAAATCCATCCTGTTTCCCCGTGGCCACCACAGACACTACATCGGGGTGGCCACTACTCCCTGGACCATGGTGTTCTGCCACTCACTAGTATGCTCTGTGACCTTGGGCAAATTAGGAAATCTCTCTGCACCCCAGTTTCTTCCTCCCATACAAAATGAGGATGGTCAAAGTAGTTGCTTTCCTGAGGTGTTGTGAGGAATGAGGGAATGAACACCTGGCTGGGGGTGGGGCCTGGGTCACAGTGAGCCCCCTGTGCATGCTCACTCTCGACTTCTTGCTGCCCAGGTGGAGACGGGCAGCAGTAGTGGCTGCCTCTTACTGTGGGTGAAGTGCTGGGCTGTGTGGTTTATTTTCGTTCCCTAATCCCCACATCAGGCTTATCAAGTGGATATTCTTATGCCCTCGGTTTTTTGGATTAGGGAAATAAGGCTCAGAGGAATTTGTACAAGGACACATAGCGAGTAAGTGGCAGAGCAGAAACTGAAATTCACGTCTTTTGAACACAGACCCCCCCACTTTGCCCCAGGGCTTTCCCCTTGTTCGGCAGGGGTGGGGTCTGTGGTGCCATCGTGAACCGTGCCAGTGGAGTGACACTGGGTGTTGCTCCCCAGGATAGGATTGCCAGCTTCTGAATGAAATGGGGGGAAGCTGGGCCAAAGCTCCACCCTACCCACTGGCTTTTTTTCCTGCCAAACGACAGCCTGGTCCCTGCACTCCCTGTCCATGTGTCAGTGCCCTCTGGGGCCCGTGTACCCCCCACTTTTTCCTTCAGTTTCCCTGCTCTGTAGGGGTACCGTTGTGTAAATATTCAGGTGTGGACACTTGTGGAGGAACTTTCTCCACAGCTTCCTCTTCAGCTGACATTCTGAAATACAAATGGTGATATGGCGCCCTCCTGCCCAGGGCCCACAGGCCAGAAGCCAGCAGCAGGTCTTCAGAAATGCAGAGTTGGTAGATTTGTGTTTCAAATTGTGAGGTGAGGTGGGGCTTCCAGTTTTCAAAAAGTCCTCCCCCACCCTGGCTCCTCTGATACTCCTGAATATTCCTAGTGTTTGGAGAAGGCTTTTCAAATTATTTTTTAGTTTTTACAACCATTTTCTATTGCTCTCACTAAAAACAAAACAAAACAAAACAAAACTATTCTAAGTCTATTGTAAAAGCACAAGCTAGAATCAGGAAGTTAGACAGCTTCTTACAAAAAAGAAGAAAAACGTGATCTGTGAGTAAGGAAGATGAGCGCCTAAAACATGGCGGCTTGCTGTGGAGGATTCTAGTCGCTGTGAGAACTGAGTGGGGCTCAAACATCACCCCTCCTAAACTGGGGGCCGAGTCCAGAGAGCCAGAGCTCCGGGCGGCTCAGAGAAGCACTTGATTTTACAGGCCAGGCCCCCACTGGGAGGCCAGCAGGGAGGGCTTACTGCAGCGCCCTGCCCCCTGAGGAGATGACATTGTCCAGGTCTCTGCTGTGCTGTGGGGCTGGCTCAAGGTGAGGGGGAGGGTGGACTCTCTGTGGAGTCAAAGTCAGGAGGCAAAGACAGGAAGGCAGGAACAGCTGGTGGTACCCAGGAGCTATCTTCTGTTCACTTTGAATCCCGTCATATTACCTGGCCTGTGTTCACCCATGCCACAAAGTACGGAGTTGGAGCTTAGCCAACACTGACAACAGGAAAAATCTCTCAGCAACCAAAATGCACATTAGTGCTCCCTCGCCTCTCCTGCTTTTTCCACATAATCTGTATAACATACTCTCCACCCGTGTAAAGTGCACCATTCAATGGTTTTTATTATATTTGCAGAGTTGTGCAACCAGTTTTGGAACATCTTTTTCATCACCGAGAGAAACCCCATATCTTTTAGCTGGCATCCCCTAGTACTCACCTTCAATCTCCTGTTTATTATTACTTTACACAGATTCAACAAGCTCAGTTATCTGACCCTGTGACAAATTTAGGGAAGCAGATTAGCAGTGAGAAAAGGACTTCTAGAGATGGGGTCACAGAAATGATGTGTGGGGATGAGGAGCCCAGGCTGAGGACCCAGTCCACTGGGTTCACAAGACAGCCTCATCCTTTGTTGTGGAGCGGCCTTGGGCCAGCTCCTAACTAACTGCAGGAGCTGTTTTCCAGTCTGCACAAGGAGGAAAGTCAAAGGGCCTTTCTTGTGAGAATTAAAGGAGCTAATACTCGGTGTCCAATCTTTTGGCATCTCTGGGCCACACTAGAAGAAGAGTTGTCTTGGGCCTCACATTAAATACACAAACACTGATGAAAACTGAAGATGGGCAAAAAAGGTTTCAAGTAAATTTACGACTTTGTGTTGGGCCGCATTCATAGCCGTCCTGGACGCCCCTGGTTCTGAAGAATTCGAAGCACAGCGTCTCAGAGCAAAATGCCTCGAAGATGGATTGTACAGTGAAGACCCCGGAGTCACCAAGAGAACTTTAGGTTACGTTCAGCATGCTCAGATTAAGATACAGGAATTACGATTTGTATTTTAAAAAGCTACACCTAAGTTGGAATTTTTAAAAATTAGGGTATGAAGGGGACAGACGTTATCTGAAAAATTTAGCTCTCCAGAACAGCTGCTCCCTCGAGAATGTATGGAGTAAAGTAGATAAACAGACATTTGTTATGAATTGAGCACAGCCCATCATTTTATTTTATGAAACTTCTTCAGTCGGGTAGGTCACTTGTTGATTCAGGGCCATTGACAGAGGAGCTTTGTTTGAAAGAGTCAGTTCGTCTGCTCTTCACATT